GTTTGCTCGCCACTACCAAGGGAATCCTCGTTGGTTTCTCTTCCTCCGCTTAGTTATATGCTTAAATTGGGCAGGTGCTCCCGCCCGACCTGAGATCAAAAGGCAAGGCCCGACGTACCTTGACAGCTCGAGCCCGATACCCCCAACCCCAAGCCCACCTTAAGCCGATGGGAGCGAATGGAAGGCGGCGACCGCACATGCCGGAGGGATGACCTTACGTGTCGTTTTCAGGGAAACGAAGATCACCACCCACAAACGGGTGCTGGAGGGCAACAACAGGGCGGAGCGAAACGCACCACTCTGGGCTGCGGCCCCCACAGGCCCGCTCGGAATGCTCTCCAATTCCTTTCCACTTTAGGCTATCGACGCTCTCCAAATCGGGAGCGAGGGAAGCCACGACCACGGACCCCACCACTCTCCGAAACGGAAGGTGCTGAGGTCGTGACGAATCCAATGATGCTCACGCGGGCGTGCCCTCGGCTGAAGCCCTGGGCGCCACATGCGTTCAAGGTATCGATGGCTCACGGATTTCTGCAATTCACATTCAGTATCGCATTTCGCTGCGCTCTTCATCGTTGGGAGGGCCAAGATATTCGTTTGCTGAAAGTTCTACAATATGGTGCTGTTCCGACAGGACCGACCCCTCAACCAAAAAAGAAGGGGTTCGACAACCCGGACAACGACAAATCAAAGCAGGTACATCAATAAGAAGTTGCAAAGCCGTCGCCACCGCCCGCTGCCACGAGCCTGTCCGACCCCCCGTTCGGGGGGCCAGGCAGGGCACCGAGGAGGAGCGGGGCAACGAGGGTGCAAGCGCTGTCTCCTTCCGCTCCCACCCGACACCACCCCGTTCACGACTAAAACCCTCCCCCAACGGCCCTCCACCCCGACATTCAGACCACCTCGACTGTGTCGAGGATGCCGATCTGTCCGGAAAGGAGAACCCCATTGGGAAGGAAGCCAGGATGAAACGGGGAGGGGCCGAGGGCCCCGCAACACACTCCACCCCTAGCCTCTACCACGACCCTCGATCCCCAAACAAGCCACAAGCTCCGCACGAAGCCGAGGTTGAGGCCGGGACGGAAAGGAGGTCGGGACAAAGCTGACACGGGAAGGAGCAGGGGTACGCAAGCCGAGGACAACCGCCACCACCCGACATCCCGTCCCGGCCCTTCCGGCAGGGCTGTCCGTGCCCGGACCAACTGCCATCCCGGCCAGAAGTCGACAGTGAAGCTGGTCCGAGGTAACAACCTGCAGAGGCGAGACGGGATGAAGGGGGAGCAACGCCACAAGGCCCCTGACCCTGCCCACTCCCCCCACCCTCGACCTACACCACGCCCCCCTCTGCGCCGGGCCAGCCGCCAGCTGGGCACTAAGCCCAAGATGGTGCTGAAACGGAAGAGAAAAGCGGATGCAGGGAGGATGGGGGCAAAGGGCGGCTGAAGGGCGAGCAAGCCAGCGTCCCACACCCCAAAGATCGGTCGTTCACGTGTTAATGATCCTTCCGCAGGTTCACCTACGGAAACCTTGTTACGACTTCCTCTTCCTCTAAATGATAAGGTTCAATGAACTTCTCACAGCACCCCCAGCGGCAAACCGCCGAGATCACCGTAATCCATACACTTTACCGAAGCATTCAATCGGTAGGAGCGACGGGCGGTGTGTACAAAGGGCAGGGACGTAATCAGCGTGAGCTGATGACTCGCGTTTACTAGGCATTCCTCGTCCGAGATCGATAATGACAACAATCTATCCCCGTCACGATGGTTACCCGGGCCTTTTGACCAAGGCAAGCGACTCATTGGATTCATCATTGTAGCGCGTGTGCGGCCCATAACATCTAAGGGCATCATAGACCTGTTATTGCCTCAAACTTCCGTTGGCTAGTCGTCCAACAGTCCCTCTAAGAAGCTGGCCAAGAGGAAAGGTCCCCGCGTAGCTATTTAGCAGGGTGAGGTCTTATTCGTTAACGGAATTAACCAGATAAATTACTCCACCAACTAAGAATGGCCATGCACCACCACCCATAGAATCAMGAAAGAGCTCTCAATCTGTCAATCCTTGCTATATCTGGACCTGGTGAGTTTCCCCGTGTTGAGTCGAATTAAGCCGCAGGCTCCACGCCTCGTGGTGCCTTTCTGTCAATTCCTTTAAGTTTCAGCCTTGCGACCATACTCCCCCCGGAACCCGTAAACTTTGATTTCTCACAAGGTGCTGACAGAGTCATCCAATAGACATCCGCCAATCCCTAGTCGGCATCATTTATGATTGAGACTAGGACGGTATCTGATCCTCTTCGAACCCCAAACTTTTGTTCTTGATTAATAAGAACGTCCTTGGCAAATGCTTTCGCAGAAGTTCGTCATCCATAAATCCAAGAATTTCACCTYTGACAATGGAATACGAATGCCCCCAACCGTCTCTATTAATCATTACTCCAATTCCGAAGACCAACGAAATAGGACATGAGTCCTATCGCGTTATTCCCTGCTAATATGTTCAGAGCACATGCCTGCTTTGAACACTCTAATTTTTTCAAAGTAACAGCGCCGACTCAAGATCCCAGCCAATAAAGGCAAGGAACGCATACCCGGCAAGAAAGGCGAAAGGGCCGGTACACGCCCGCAAAAGCAGACCAACCCCTCCCACGCGAAATCCAACTACGAGCTTTTTAACTGCAACAACTTAAATATACGCTATTGGAGCTGGAATTACCGCGGCTGCTGGCACCAGACTTGCCCTCCAATGGATCCTCGTTCAAGGAGTTTACGACTGTTCTCATTCCAATTACCGGACTCGAAATAGCCCAGTATTGTTATTTATTGTCACTACCTCCCTATGTGAGGATTGGGTAATTTACTCGCTTGCTGCCTTCCTTGGATGTGGTAGCCATCTCTCAGGCTCCCTCTCTACGGAATCGAACCCTTATTCTCCGTCACCCGTTACCACCATCGTAGGACTCTATCCTACCATCGAAAGTTGATAGGGAAGAAATTTGAGTGGAACATCGGCGGCTCAAAGGCCATGCGATTCGACAAGTCACCATGATTCGCCGCAACAACGAGCAAGCCCGGATCGGCCTTTTATCCAATAAATACGTCCCTTCCAGAAGTCGGGATATGCTGCACGTATTAATTACCATGGTTATCCTTGTGGTAAGGAGACCACCAAATAAATGATAACTTATTTAATTAGACATTCGCAATTTCTTTTTTTTAAAAGGTTGTGCAGGTTGAAGATAGCCCAGGAGTAACCCTGTCGCTCGGTCGTGGATGGCACCCTCGCCAGGAGGGCTGGCGCGCCGAGCGTTCCTACGCTATCAGAGCGGGTACTACACTCGCCAAGCGAGACCCTTCTGACGGCGCTGGCAGTGGCTGCCACCCACGGTATCGTATGCCCTATCCCTTCCCCACACCCCTATGTAACACACTCAATTCCCAACACAGATGAGACACTCAACAGGTGTAGTCGCTCAAGACCTCACGTACCCTGGAAGACGGGAAGGTATCGACCAAGGCCAACGCTCCTTGGTCGCGTGCAGACATAGGCAAGAAACTCCCGAACTCAGCAGATAGCTGCCCCGATGACATCCGAATCGGGAGGCATACCGCACTGCCACCCAGTCATTGCGATAGCATGGGGTGCCCACTTGTGCTATGGAAGTACCCTGACCCAGGCAGCCCTCCCCAAACCTGAATTCCCCCTCCCCCCCCCCTCCCCCCTTCTGATCAATAGTACGCCTGTGGCAGGCCCTACTCGGAGTGTAGTCTGCCCGTGCGAGGCTGTAATCTGTGCATCCAACCGGTTAATCCCTTCGTGCTGGTGCCACCACATCGACGCCTTATTTATCAATTTCGAGGTCCCCTAACAGCGAGCTAAGCTTCTTTTCTTGCGCTAGCGCACATACCACTTTTTTCGTTGCACATACCACAACAACCAATCGAAGGGCGAACTGCATACCGAAGACACGATCCCCCCCCCACTGCCTCCAACCCGCAGCAACCGGTGTGTGAATGGCCAAACGCTATGAGAGCGTTGAACGGCAGATAATGCGCTGGGCGGAGTTTGAACCCACACCCTTGGACCACAATGCGCATTTCCAATCGATGTCCTAACCACTTGGACACGAGGCCATCACAGTTTCTATTTTTAAGAGGTTGTGCAGGTTGGAGACAGCCTATGGGGAACCCTGTCGCTCCGCCGTGGATGGCACCCCCGCCAGGAGGGCTGGCACGCCGAGCCTTCCAACGCTATCGGAGCGGGTACTACACTCGCCAAGTGAGACCTTTCTTACAGCGCTGCCACCTACGGTATCGTATTTAATACACATTTCGTTAAAGGTGAACCTTTTGATTGTTCACTTTTTGTAACAAAGCCGGAATTCATGTTGGAGCGCTATAAGTAAGGAAAATTCATGTTGGCAATATAAACTGAGGAGCGACAGTCGCATAAATAAGAATAAATCGAAACAATCATTGCTAAGTGTTGCTTAGTGGGTAGTGATATGGGTCAACTGCCATCGCTTGGACTCGACCCATCACACACACACACACACACCCCACCAACCCCAACCACCGAGCACACCAGCGGTGTTCGAATTTCTCCCTTGTAGGCTATCTTCGAAGCAGCCTTCTGTAGAGCGGCCGTCGCTCGGCAACTCAGAATAAACTCCAGGTTTGTTCGAGTGGTCCGGGCCCATCAACGTGCAGAAGAATCGCTGGCGCACTCAGCCGGAGCGGCTTGCGGAAGGTCAATATGTATTCGTGACGAGGATTAAGACCAATCTGCTCGACAGCGTCACGAACCCCAAAAATTGGACGCTCTAAGCGGGTCATTAATTTCTGCGAGCAAAGGTAGAGGACGGAATCTTAAAGTACGAATGAATTTCCACTTAGTCGTTGACAAATCCCTTATATAAGACTCTGAGGACCTTGCCCGCACTGAGCCTGACAAATGTGATCCATCGCACAGTTCCCACTCGCGCAGATGTGAATCTCGACAATTGTGGTGCATCTTTATCCGTCAATACGACATTCGAGCGTGAAATGAAATCAATGCGTCGACTCTTTCCCGTCCAAACACACGATTCAAACCGGCAAGGGACATGCTATATCTCTGAGGACCACCTTCCCCTTCATCACCAACCTGTCCAACCACCCGAGGAAGTGGCATGGACTCGAAATCGAAGGTTTCGGAGTCGCTCACCTCCTCCATGTCTTCAGCGTCGAAAGGGTCCTCCTCGTCAAACTGCGCCTTGTAGTTTTCGAGGGTGAGCGGTTCGGCCATCAAGAAGTTAACGTGCTCCAGCCTTCTGAGGAAATTCGAGACAGACTCCCTGGGTGCATCGTGGTACCCATTCAGCACACCGAACACCAAGTTTCTCCGTCGACTGTATTCGAGGTCGGTCTGAGCAGGAGGTCCGGGTTGGAAAAGGAAGTCCCAAACCTCCGTCCTTTTGTTCGCTGGCAATTTCCAATACATGTCACGTTTGGGATCCCAATTCCGTTCGCCGGTGGTCTGGACAAAAGAGCAGTAATTGCGAGGGTCTGCCACGTGTGTCTTCACGAACTCATGAAGGTAATCGATCATGTTCGCCTTGTCCTCCAACGCGACGACATTCTGACCGTTGCGCAGGAGCTCCCACACGACAGACGCATGCTCCTTCCCAAAGAAAAAAACAGTTTGCCCAGCTGTGCAAAAGTTTTCGATTCGACCAAGTAAATGGGACGGGTTCCGCTCCATGTCCCCATAAGCAGGTCCACGTACACTTGTCACGCCGCCGTCCTCCCATAGGCTGCGAGGGAACCTGTCGTCGTCCGCCACGTTGAAACATGCCACAGCCTGTCCTCATGGGACCGACGAACATACAACTTTCGAGCGGGCCACCACCTCGTGTTTGCCTGGACTTGGAACATGAGTACGGGGAGCCTTTGTCGGACTACTGGCCGGGAATACTGCGACTGTGTTGTCTGCCAGGTTCTCGCCATTGAAAATCACGTACAGGCGATCACACTCCTCAACCAGCATATTGCCTTCCGGGATAGTGGCCTGCCTTTGTGCATGGCGCACCCACTTCCCTGTCCTGACGTGATGGACGCTATGTCTGGCCATGCCTTTCAAGAAACTGAGCTCCCAACGAGAGGGGAAAAAGACCACAAGTGCCCAGTGCGTTGGCGACAGTGTTTGGAGAACGCCTTGCAAGTTGGCGAAATCGTCTTCTCGCCAGTCTGTGAGGAGTGTGGGATCACACAAATCGAGGACGTACAGGTTGCACCCGTAATGTCGCACAAATCGAGCTTGGGAAGGCATGCAACAAAAATGAATAAGGCTGGTCACCCGCTCGGGCTTCTCCCATTTGATGTGCCTTACATCCCCGGTGACCCTGATCGTGTCTCGAACTTCTTCTTTCGTCCATCGTAAGGTGGAACGGACAGACTTTTCAAAAGATTTCGGGAACCTGTCATGCTCGTACATTTTCCTAGTGTCGTCGAGGGACTCCTCGTGTGGAAGGGTGCGTTTGCAAGTATTCTCGTTTTCCACCGCGCCCTGGAAATGCCTTCGCAGTTTGACCCACACCTGTTTCGTGAGGCCCTGCGGTCCGAACTCCGCCAGAAGCTGCCCCTCGGTCCGGAAAAAATGGCTCCCGTAGCGCCAACCCTCTTCGTCCTCCTCCGTTTCAAAGAACAAGATATAGTGGAACATGCGGACTATCATGCGGTCCACTTTCCTCGTCGCAACCCGGTCTTTAATTCCAGGCTTATGTTGACGTTTCAGATGCCCGCCTGCCGATTGCACGAAGACTCCCCTTAGTGCGAGACTGTCGTCGAGGATCGACAGTTTCTCGACATCGGTCATGTCGGCGAGACAGTGCCAACAGAACGTGTCTGGTTCCTTCACGACCACGAAAAATTTGTCGTCCACTTGCATTTTCGTTTTGGTCGGAGGCGGCGGGACCTGGACCAGCCACCCCATCTTCGTTTCACCAGCCGCCCCTTTCGAGCCCATTTCCGGAATCGCTTGAAAGCCCGGAGATTTGTCGAGCATGGCTTCGACAATGGCGTCTTCCCACTGCCGCCCAACAACTTCCCCTCCACCCTTTTGTCATAGAACTCCATGCCTTTGCGGAAAACATCATCACCGGCCGTCACGAGCGGCATCCACTGGCTCAATGCATTGTCAATGGCAGCGACATGGTCCTTGTCGGCGAGCGTTGCCGATTTGGTTGCCATCGTCCAGTGAGCGTCGTTCGGACTCTTTCCCAAAAGCAGCTTTTGGAATTCGAAAAACGTTGTTTTCTCGGCCTCCTTGTCGAGGGTTCCCTTGAATGGCCAACGGCCTTCCATTGTTCTCCCATGCCTCCCGCATGTCCTCAAACGAGGCCTTCTGCGCACGCTGCTTAGACATCTTGTGTCTCGTGTTCTCCTTGAGACTGACCTGCAAATACCCCGCGAATTCCTCGTCAGAGAACCAGACAACTCTCGCCGGCCACGAGTGGATCTTCCACAAGTCGAATATTGGCTCACCCTCCAACTCCTTCACAGCAGCCACGGTGTGTTGTCCGTTGACAGGGTAATAGAAGTACTTGTCCTTGTCCTCTGGCTTGAAGACATCTTTGTGAACCCTCTCAGCTTTCTCCGGCCTACGCGCCACCCGCTTGTATATGGGTGCCAAAACCAAAGGGTTCTTCGTCCAGATCTTCCTCTTTTCCTCGCGGAACTGCCTTAGCATCGCTTTCTTGATGCCCTCCACACTATCGCGACTGAGACTGCGGTGGTTGTAATATCTTTCCCAAGCCGGGATGTTGCAGACCTTCCTGGGGTCGATGAGCAGTTGAACGGGGAGCTCCTTCTCCACGATCTCACCGTTATTGTTCCGCTCGTATTCGAGCCAGAACGCTGCCGCTTCGTCGAACTGCCTACCGACAACCCGTTTGCCACCGCTCGCCGCCTCAGCAGTCCTCCTCCGCCGAGGTTTCTTCTGGCCATCGTCTTCTTCGGCTGCGAGTTTTCTTTTGGATTTCTCCGAAGCGGCAGCAGCGCCTGGATGAGCCGAATCTCCTACACCCATAACTTGTCCCTCGCGGATGGTTAAACCGCTGGGCCTCCTCGCTTTCTTACTTGTCGTCGCACCCTCTTCCTTCGACAGCCTCTTTTCGACTACATGTTCTTCTCTGTCGCTCGCGCTTCTTCTCCGAAGAAGTCGACTCCCCGCCAGAGCTTTCGTGCACAGCGTCCATCCCTTCAGCCTCATTCCATCCAACCTCTTGCCCCTATCTGCCGGATTATCTTCTCGTCCCATCTCGAAGCGAATACGTGTCGCCCTGGCAGCGGACCTTGAGGATTTTCGGAGTACCGGCCCAGTGAGTCTCTGCATCTGGAGAATGCAAGTCTGACGTCCTCCCAGGAGCATCCGCTCGGACCTGCGTGTGAATGTTGCGCACGTGCCCCTTGCCCCGACCCTCAGCGTCGTGAATCGCACTCCTGCGCCCCACTGGCGTCTTAGGAGTTTCTTGAGCCAAGCCGGACGACCCCTCATGGGCTGGCAGAAGCCGGAAAACATACTCTCGCGGAATAACCGGGCGCTCTTTCGGCACCTTCAGCGCGAGATCGAGGTATTGCACTTGTGGTGGAAGATGCTTGCAGCAGCCATCATAAAGCCCTTTGAAGTGAGGACACAACGTCATGTTCGAGCCGTACCCCGCGAAACTCTTGATGGGCACTATCACACCCTTAGCACCTCTGAAAGGCATTCTGCAGTCGTCGTACACGCCGTTAGTGTGCAGCTTGAGCAAACCTCCAGCAATCTTGCCGGATGCGACGATGGTACCGAGAGGAAGAACGTTGTCTGCTCCCTCAGCTTCTGGAACGCAAGTGGGTCGCATGAAAACAGCTGGCCCAACAAGGTTCCCCTGAACAACGAAGTCCAAAAACCATTGTGCTTCCCTTTTATGGAAATACGGAGAAGTAGATTGCGGATGACCCAGCGCTTGTGGATATGTTCTTTGCGGACGCCATTCTGCTCCCACCCGTTGATTAATACGCCCAACCTTAGACCGAATCGGATGACCGGGCGGAAAGCAACGAGGTGTTCCTAACACTACAGTAGCAAAGTGCGAACTAACTCTCACTTGACGAAATGGAGGACGAAAAGGACGTAAGACATGGGTGTTTGAAATGCACACGAAGTCACAACAATTGGGTAAAGGAGAGGAAAGACAACAGTCCTCTAGCAGAGTGAGTTCGGAGGGAAGACAGCAGCTCCACTGAACGAGTGCGAACGAACTCGCTGTCCTAGAATCGAGGAAGAGGTGATTTATCTTCAGGAAAGTGTGAACTAACTCGGAGTTCAGGGAATGAAGTCATCTACAACAAGTACCGCATGGGTATCGGCAAGCAGGAACCGACTGGCAGTTCTGGGGAGAAGAAAATCGACGCACGAGATTGGTGTTTGAAATGCTAACGAAGTCAAAACAATTGTGTAAAGTTCAGGAAAGACAACAATCCTCTGGCAGAGTGAGTTCGGAGGGAAGACAACAACTCTTCGGAAAGATTGCGACCTGACTCGCTGCCCTCGAAACGAGTAAGATGTGGTTTATCGACAAGTGCGAAGGGTATCGACAAGTGCAAACTAACTCACAGTTCTGGAGACAATACAACAATTGCAACCCACAGTCATGGAAGCGCGAAAGTCACGTTTAACAAAAGGCGGCTTATCTTGGGGAAAGTGCGAACTGACTCGGAGTTGTGGACATGAAGACCTGAAAGCCGCACCATATGGGTGTGTACAAGTGCGAACTAACTCGCAGTTGTGGCTCCTCAAGCAGTGTAGGTCGCAAACTGCGAACTGACTCACAGTTGTGGATCACTTCCGACCTCGCTAGGATGGATGGACAAAACTCCGAATTGATTCAGTTATATATATATATATATATATATATATATATATATATATATATATATATATATATATATATATATATATATATATATATATATATGTTAGGTCGGCGACCTCACAAGGGTCAGGTGAGCGAAAATCGGGAATTGATTCGGTGTTCAACAAAAAACTGGGTATTATGCGCAGTGACGACTATGAGTTGCGAAGGGAATCGAGCAGCTTTATACAAACGTTATCATGGCTATGGCGAAAGGTAATCGAGCTACGAAACACGGATCGGCTATGGCGGACGGAGGTGGAGGGTGGAGAGAAGACATCAGAACACGTTCGCTGGCGAAACAACAAAACCGGGAATTGATTCGGGGTTCAAAATGCGGCACCTGCGGTGTTATATCCTGCAGGTAGAGACAAGGAATCTGGGAATCTGTTCGGACATTGGACACAGAATAGGACAACTGAAGTTACAGAATCTTACCTTCGTCGTGCGTTGAGCGAGCGACCAACGTCAGAAGGATATGGATGTACGATCACCGAACCAGCTATGGTGGAGGGACATCCAGGTAGGAAGAGCGAACCGGCTATGGCGAATGGAAATCTAGCCACGAAGAGCGAGCTACGGAGAGCAAACCAAACACAATGCGGCAACTGCGGACGGAGCGAAGAGCGAAGAGCGAAAGGGCTATGGCGGAAGGAGGTGGGGGTTGAAGACAATATATCAGAACGTGCGCGAAAGCGATAGCGCGACTTGACACGTGGAGCGGCAACAAAAGGGATAACACGAGGGCGGCAACGCCTTTTATACTTTCTTGCAGCAGGCCTCGCGTGGAGATAAAGGTGGGGCCGTGTCGATTCGCATATCGCACGCCTGGGCCCATAAGACGCCAGGGCCTATAAACGGGTAAGGGCAGCTTGGGACTCGAAAGGTCAGAGGTACCGAAAATTGTTGGTCGTCGATCAACAATTTTGAACGGCGCAGATGAACGAAGCCACTGACATGCAAGAGGCCCCAAAATCTCCGTAAACTCCGGCGTGCAATGATATCACAGTTCCAGAAAACTAGGGGCAGGCAAGGTCATTTTCGCAGTTGTAGTCTGGACCGTCGATCGGCATGATCCGACGCACAAGGTCAGGCGCAAGAATCCGGTGAGGCGGTTCGTTGCGCGCCGAGGTCAGGCGACAGTTCATCGCGAGCCGAGGCGCGGCGATTCGTTATGCGTCGAGGTCAAAAACTCCGGAAATCTAGAAGTTCCGGTGTCGCATTCATTGGGACATTTTGCAAATGTCAACGACGTTGGATATACGAAGTCCGCAATCCATTCCAACGCTTGCCATTCACCATCGCCATCGATGCGCTTAGCTCATCGCCATCGCGACGCAAAGCTATCGTTGGCATCGCAGCGCTGGCCATTGCAACGCGTTCCATCGTTATCGCTGCCACCGCAGTGCTGGCCAACCCCCCATCGCTATCGCTAGCACTAGCGCTAGCGCCATCGCTATCGCTATCGCTATAGCTATCGCCATCGCTATCGCTAGCGCTATCGCTATCGCTGCCATCGCTATTGCTACCGCTGCCATCGCTATCGCTATCGCTAGCGCCATCGCTATTGCTATCGCTGCCACCGCAGTGCTGACAATCGCCGCCATCGCAGCGCTGGCCATTGTAACATGACGCAAAGCTATCGCTGCCACCGCAGCGCTGGCCATTGTAACGCGTTCCATCGCTGCGCCATCTTTCTCATCGGTACTCCATCTCTCTCCATCGGTGCACCATCGCTCTCCACCGCAGTGTCGGTCATCCCCCATCGCAGTTGTCGCGCTCGCCTGACCATCGCATCGCTGACAATCGCTATCACTCCCATCCCAGCGCTGGCCATTGTAACCCGTTCCATCGCTGCGCCATCTTTCTTATCGTTACGCCATCTCTCTCCATCGGTGCGCTCTCCACCGCAGCGCTGGCCATCGCTATCGAAGCCCTGGCCAGTGTTATCCCATCGCAGCGCTGGCCATCGCTATCGCTGATTCGTTGGGCACCTTCGGGCCTTCGCGATCTCTTCTCCATCGCTGCGCGATTTCTCTTTATCGCTCCTGTGCGATCTCTCTCCATCGCCTCACGATCTCCCTCCATCGCTGAGTGATCACTCTCCATCTCACTCCACCACTGCGCGATCTCTCTCGACCACTGGGCAACCTCCATCCCTGCGCCAGAGGCTCTCCATCTCTCCTGCGCGATCCCGCCATAGTCATTGTATTGTTGTTTCAGGCCACTGTCGGCGCAGCCACCCATCACTGTAGAATCGCACGAAACAAGTGACATGTATGGCTAACGAAGGTTTAACGCGATGGATGTCACTTTGATAATGGAATTGATGTTGTGCAACAACTAATCTTGCTCATCGCTGCGCCAACTCTCTCCAATGGTGCGCCATCGCTAACCATCGTTGTGCCTGCTCTCTCCATCGGTGCGACATCGCTAACCATTGTTGTGCGTTACAATGGCCATCTATGTCCTTTCTTCATTGGTGCGCCATCACTAACCATCGCTTACCATTGCTGCGCGATCTCTCCCGACCTTTCTTCATCTATCTCCATCGATACGCTATCTTTCCCAATCTATCTCCATCGTTGCGCTATCTTTCCCAATCTATCTCCATCGCCCCGCCATCTATGTCCTTCTCTCTCCTTCGGTGTGCCATCTTTCTCCATTGATGTGCCATCGCTAATCATCGATGCGCCTGCTATCTCCATTGCTGTTTCGGCATCGGTGCGCAATCTCTCTCCCTCGCCACGGCATCTCTCTCAATCAGTTCGCGATCTCTTTCCCTTCCTGCGCCATCTACCTTCTTCCCCGGAATAAACAACGCACGATCTGTAGTTCGTATTACACGTAGAACAAGCCGAAAACAACTCGCAGTTGTACCCGCAGTTTCGTAATGGAAATGCTCGTTTGCAAGTGCGAATTCATTAGCTCTTGAACCAACCGGCCCCCTAAATTTGTTACTGTTCAGTCGATAAGTC